ATATATATATATATATATATACATATATATATGCATCTATATATAGATATATATCTATATATAGATATATATCTATATATAGATATATAATATTTTTCTGTGTATAAGAGCTGTTATTTCTTAGGATTCACATACACTTTAAGCTGGAGTTGAATATAAGTAAATTATTACAATTCATGGAAACATGTCAGTTGTAATTACTGGACACAGAGTTGGCCAACACAAACCTTACATTACACATGTGGTCAGAGTCCCACTTTTGCTGTGATTACATTTCCTGTGTATGTACTGTAAATGTCCATCCGCCATTTCACCTCCTCTAATAACCTCTCCGTACAGGGCTGCAGAGAATGTTCGGGACATATTTCCGCGTCGGATTTTATGGTTCTAAATTTGGAGACCTGGACGAGCAAGAATTTGTTTACAAAGAGCCATCTATTACCAAACTGGCCGAGATCTCCCACCGCCTAGAGGTAATCAGAAGTCTCCCCCATGGCTTGTACTGTGATGAGGATGACCTACAAGCTGGTTTATAGGGTGGACATGTACTTGGATGTTAAGTTCATAGGTCATTTTTTTAGTTAAATAAAGGCAAATTTAAACTAAACAATGTACGTTCCCTGGAGAAAATGATGCTTCAGGCTACCTCCAATGCTTACCAAATGTCTGAAGGCCACTTGGTCACATCATCTCTGCTGGTCTGAATTCACCTTTAGAAGAGATCACATGACCAGATGACTAGATCTTTAGACATGTGGCCAGCACTGGGGGAAAATCTAATGCAGCATTTACTCCAGGTAAGATAAATATTCCAGCCCTTTTATCAGTCTTTATATATCTATCCCAGGAAGACTGCAAACCTGCTTGACTTTGGGTCCACTTTAATGTCAGCCTTTGTCTTCACTTAACAGGAGTTCTACACTGATCGGTTTGGTGAAGGGATAGTTCAGGTCGTAAAGGATTCGAACCATGTAGACAAAACCAAACTGGACCCAAACAAGGTGGGTGAATCCTGAGTGCATTCCCTAAACACTTGAGCAATGAGCAGTTTTCCATACATAGAAGGAATACGAGACATGGTGTGTGTATTAAAGAGACCCTGTGACACAAATCAGCGTTGTTGAGAACATGCGTGCATCCTGGAGGTAGTAATCGATGAGGACCTTCCCTTGAAGAGTGACCAGGCATTCATTTAGTGAAAGCTTTAAATTAAAAATGACTTTGGAGATGACCTATACATGTTAAACCCTATGAGATTTTAGTGATCGGGGTTACATAGCCCTGAGCTGAACAAAATATCTGCAAATGCTACTTTCTGGGCTGTCATGCTCATATGGCTTCATTAATGTCTGAAGTCCTTTTTAATATAATTTGTAAAAGTCTGGAGTAGTATGAGGCTGGCTTAGAGCCCCAGGATGCTTTCCCATGTCTCCCTTGACAGATGACAGGTCAAATGACAAAGCACAGAGGACGCATGGGAAAGCTGGTCCACTAATACTTCCCAGGGGAAATCTGCTCTGGAATATATGACCAGCACCTCTTAGCTCAGGTATCTTTGTGTTACTTGTAAATGTAGATCCATGGGCAAAGCAGAGAGCCAGGCCCCTCTGAAACGCGGGCCCTGCCATCCCCCCCGTTCCTATTCCAGTATTTATGCCTCTAATTTGCTCTCGCCTATCCATCTGAGTTCTTCCAGTCCTGGTCTGGCAAACATGGACCACTTGCAAGAAGCAGCAGGCTACCATGTCTGGCTTTCCAAGACACTGCTAGTTCCATGGGAGTTACATTACTGTGCATCATGCCGCAGAGGTTCCCACCACCCTGGAACAGGCATTGACAGAACATGCCAGGCAGTGACTGTCTCCAGTACTGGCCGGGAGGCTCGGCTATGACAGACCAAAGCCTTTCCTTTTCATATGTAGGTGCTAACAGGTTCAGTCAGCAAAGAGAGATCTTTTCAACAATGTCAGTTTTTAATAAACTCACTAGAGTTCCCATTGGTCACTCACTCCCCCTCGTTTCTTGTAGGCCTTCATCCAGATCACCTATGTGGAGCCGTATTTCGACACTTACGAGTTGAAGGATCGCGTCACCTACTTTGATAAAAACTACAACCTACGGACATTCCTGTTTTGTACTCCATTTACTCTGGATGGTCGGGCACATGGTGATCTCCACGAGCAGTACAAGCGCAAGACTGTGATCACCACATCACATGCTTTTCCATACATCAAGACCCGGGTGAATGTAGTACATCGAGACGAGGTGAGTAGGGTTCCTAGTCAGATCGGGGCAGAGGAAAGAAGATCCTGCAACAATAATTCCACATTTCTGTAGATATGCTTAAAGCCTCTGGATTTATTATGGTCTTTGTCTGCCAGGTGGTATTAATACCAGTTGAGGTTGCCATTGAAGACATGCAGAAGAAAACACAGGAGCTGGCTTTTGCTACCCATCAGGACCCAGCGGATGCCAAGATGCTGCAAATGGTGCTCCAGGGTTGTGTGGGGACGACAGTTAACCAGGTGATTAGAGTGGAAGGTTTCAGGGCAGGGCTGACCAAACTATAGCTGGAATAAAAATGCAGCAGTTGAAGGGCCAGAGATGACCATGCTGAAGAGCATGTACGTGCATGGCTTTTGTTACACAGTATAAACAGTGTACAGTGTATATAGTTCTTTAAAGCAGAATTCAGTTTTATGTGATCCTCCCCACAATGGAAAAAAAAAATTCTCAAGGGTCTTCTGGCTTGTCCGGTGATGTCAAGGGTGCTTCATCCTCTCCTCCAGCAGCGGCTGGTCCTTTCTCCTGCACTGAATGCCACTCCCATTATGACTTTGCGCGCCATTCAGTGCAGTAGGTCTGTGAGCCCAGGCCGGTGTAATGATGCACCGCCATGAAGTCTTGGGTTTAGAGGAAGTGGGTTGAAAGATGCCAACAATCAACCAGACCTTCCACAGGGGACAGTGCCAGATTAAAATCTGTGTGCTGCTGCTTCTCATTGTCCAATCAACAGACTGGTGGCCAAAGTCTATTGGTTAAATGTCATGAAAGAAAGTGAGGTCACCGCCCTAGGAATTTTTTCTGGCCAGGGGTGTCGAGGTCATAAGCCCTTGTTGACACAGTTGTAAAGAACAAACATTTACTTCACGTTAAAAAAGCTTTCCTAATGCTCTGCAATGCCAGTGCCTGTTCTTTACTATGAGTAGTGAACAGTCCAGTACACTGGGCTTCTTCTCTGGTAGAACTGCTTTGGTTGGCTGAAAAAACACCCAGTCTTTTCTGTATGGTGTCAGAGGTTTCCAGAGGACATTGGTCTTCTGTGAGGCCAGAACCTTTAAAGGTGATGTAAGAATGGCAAGTGATGGGGTGATCATTGAACTCTTGCTTACTCATATCTGATTGAAGCCAGAAGTCCATTATTTGCCCTTCATTATATGTCTTGGCTCAGCACTGAAAGAGTTCAGGTACCAATGACTACTATGCACAACAGAGTATAGTTGCTGGCACTGGGGTGTCTATATGTCTTAGTGACCAGGTAAAAAGAAGGGTTTGGTTTGAGGATTTTGTGAATAACGTGTGTTTATGATAGGGTCCCCTGGAGGTGGCCCAAGTGTTTCTCGCAGAGATTCCTGAGGACCCCCGTCTGTACAGACAACACAACAAACTGAGACTCTGCTTCAGAGACTTCACCAAGAGGTGGGTACAACTTTGGTACAGTGTTTGTGTGGGAAAACCAGTTCAAAAAAATATGGGGATAGAGAGAGGAGAGCAGTACAGGGACAGGATAGTGTGAGGAGCAGACCATGGACAGTAAGAAACAATAGGGATAAAGCAAGAGGAGAACAGTGATGGGAGAGGATAGTGTGAAGGAGGGAATGCTGAGAAGAGTACAAGAAGAGGATGGTGAAAATAGAGAGAAAGAATGGGCCAAGGTTCTCTTGACATCTCTTGATACCCCACCCGCTTATTCTCATCTTCTTTGCATTGTGCTGCTGTCCCAATTGTCTGCCGGTGCTCCCATAAATACCCCATACTTCCAGGTATGTTGGAGCATGCGACCTTCTCCCCTTCCCACCAAGATGCAACCAGTGCCAGGCCTGAACACTGTCATGCGGGGAAGGGGAGCAGGTCATTAACCCTGTGTAAGCCCAGACCAACATGGAGCTGACCACAGAAAAACAACCACTACATACTCGCATCCAGCCCACGCTATCGGCACACGGCAACAGTGCCCTCTCTAGACTAGAATGGGTCCGAACCAAAATTACAGCAAACTAGCACTCAAGATAATTCTCTTCCTAATTAAAGAGTCATGTCACCCATAAAATAGGTTTGGCTTTAGCTCAAAAAGACCTTAGTTATAGCAACCCACTTGTAAAACACAGCTGCATAAGATGCCCCATGTATACAACACTGGAAGAGCTAACCCTCCAGCTTCCAATACGGAGCTTACACAGGGACAGGCAAACAGCATGGTGGGGTAGTACTGGAAAGGTATCAATAGGTTGAGGGGAGTGCTTTGGGAAGGTATCAATAGGTTGGGGGGAGTGCTTGGCCAAGAGAACCTGACATTTTGTCCATTCAGGATTCTCCCCGATTTTTTACTATTCTGTTCTCCTTACTGTCCTCTTCCTGCGATGCTCACCTCTATCTGCGGTCTGTGCTCTGCTTTTCACACTATCCTGTCCCTATGCTACTTCCCTATTTCAACATTTTCTCATTAGGAGGAGTAAAGGAAAATAGCACAAGGAGGAGATATTGAGAGAGTGCAGGCAATTGGTGAACAGGAAGCTGCACATGGAGATGATAGTGAGAGGTGTAAAGGACAGAATAGTGAACAGAGAGGAGCACATACAGATGAGTCAACCGAGGGATGTCCAAGCAGGAAATGGTAAAAACAAGGCAGCACAAGGCCAGTATAGTAAGAGAAGTAGAAGGAGGTGAGGAGCGTGAGAAGTAAAAGGAGGTGAGGAGGGAAAATAGCATTATAAGTCTCTGCTTCTTTTTCTAGGTGTGAGGATGCATTGCGGAAAAACAAAACGTTGATTGGTCCAGACCAGAGGGAGTATCACCGGGAGCTGGAGAGGAATTACCATCGTCTCAAGGAAGCTCTCGGCCCTTTAACATCTCGCCGGATCTCACAGCTGTACACAGATCTGCTCCCGCACACCAGTGCAAGGTATACACAAGTCTGTGTGTTCAATTCCCTTTTTACTAACATAATGGACTTTATGAAATATGGAACACTCATTTGCATACACAGACATCTACACATATACATATAAGACACGCATCATGTGTGGTATGAAGCATTTATATTCATCTCTTATTTCAGGGACTCCCTGACCCGCACCAGTCTACGGAGAGTTGAAGCTTGAGTGCCTCGAGATGTCATCAACCCACCACCTTCCAGACATACCACTAGGGGGCGCCGACATTGTCACTGCCTGGACAGCTCAGTGTTCCAGGGACTGCAGGCCACAATTATGTAGATTTTAAAAATGTTTGTTTCTGCTGTCACCTATGTCTGTGTGGAGGTAATCTATGGAAGAAAGAGTCAGGGACTGGATAGGGACAAACAAAACTAAGAAGAATAGAGGAGGGAGGATCTATGTGAACCACACGAGAACTAGGCCTTATTTAGGAAGAGGGTCTCTACCAGATCCCCAGAAACCTAGTCTGCTCCTGTGCTGAGTGCACAGCTGGTGGATTGCCATTCCAAAGTATTTTTTAATAGCATGTGATTGGTCAGTAGTACAGGAAGGGTGAGATCATAGCAGACACATCCAGAAATGTAGGGCTTAATGGGCGGAGCTCATAGGGGAGTTAGATAAACAGTCCATAGTAAAGATACAGTTGCCTACCACAAGCAGATGCAATTGCTCCCATACTGTACTTCAAAGTTTGTGATTGGACGCAGCAAGGACTGTTATTTCTTTTTACAAATTATCTACTTAGAGCCTTGCAAAAAAAACAAAATGGCATGTCCCTCCAAGAATCAAGAATACTTCTGCTCCGGTATACCAAGCTGCACCCTTATGGTGACGCCTGTGTTTTTTTAAAGGGAATAAAATATGGACACTACATTCAGAATTGTTTGTTTCGGTGCAAGCTCCGGAGGTACGGTCCTCATTCTCGCTTCACTGCACACATCACAGCCCCAGAACAAGCATGCAGCTTGGGGGAATGTCCTTGGTTTCATGTCTTTCTTTCCAGGAGGATTCTGTAGGCAGGTAAGCAAGAATGGGGACAGTCCTAGGACGTGCACCTTTAAGAACAAGTCATCCAAGGCTGACAGATTCCGTTTTACTGAATCGGGAACCTCAGTTCTGCATTCAGAGGAATACTGAGAGGAGACTCGCATTGCACTGATGAGGCCCTCGTTGGCAGCTGGCCATTTGTTGCATATGTGACTGGTGTTTCTTCACTTTCCGTGCTGATATATTTAAAGTGGAGTGATCAGCTGCAGACACTACAGGCAGCCATAGTGCACTGACAGGCCACATTCTTATAAATATTGCTTCTGCCTAGAATACAGCCGTGCTATGTGTGTAGCAGATTTTAGAGTGTCCTTTCACCCATATACAATGGATGCCGCCATTGTGCGAGTTCAGACAATGTCCAGTCTGCCCTGTGGTGACATTACTGTGGCGCATGCTGCAGGTTTCCTGGGAATTTAGCAGATGTTTTCTAAATCAATTGGCCTGGCTTGCAAAATGGCCGCCATTGTTTTTGGGGGACAAGCACTGGACATTGTGGGATGAGCAGAAATGTTTGCTCTGAATTGAGATGACAATTCTATAATGGTCTTAATATTTTATATGTCTCAGGGAAATGCTGGCGGCCTATGGAAAGGCCCCGATAATAGCAAAGCCCTGCTCCGCAATGCTGTACATTTATTTATGGGCATTTTCATGGCCACTCCCCTCCTTGCCTTTTACAAGTCTTTGTAGCTGAACCGTGACATGATTGTATTTTTATATAGGACATTGAATGCACTGAGCAGAACCAAAAACACATTGAAATGCTGACTAAGAGAAAATATAAAGAATAAAGCCCAAAAACAAAACTTCTCCAAGTTTGTAAGACTCAGAACTTCTGTCAAGTTCTTATTGCTCTCTGTGTCCCCATCGGGGAGCTTTTCTCCTCCCTTCCTGTCCCGGTGACACGAAATTAAATGTGGTTGTCACTGGGACAGGAAGACAGATCAGATGTTTTTAACCCTTACCTGCTGTACTATATAAATGTGCTTTTGTTGCTGCCTTTATCCCTATCAGAGAGAAATATTCCATCACTTCCTGTCCTGGTGACACCCGTTCACCAAAACAGGAAGTAAGAGTAAGGTTCCGCAATTAAGACACAGACAGAAGTACATATATGACTGGTTCAAGCCCTATTCACTGTCATTGTTTCATCATCTGCCGCATGTTGCTCATTCCTAACTCCAGGTGAAGGTGAACTATGAGGTGAGTGCTTTTCACTCACTTCATAGTTCTAGCCGACCTGTGACAATGAGACTGTCACAGGTCGGCTCAGTAGATCGGGAGGTGAGCGAACACATACCGGCATTCGCTCAGCTCTCGATCCTGTCACGGCTCTCTGCCTTGACAGGGGAGGGGCTGGATTCCCCCCTCCCCGCTCCGATCCGCCAGCGCTGACTGGCGGAACGGACAGTGGAGGGGGCGGGTTTACAGCAGATAGGCAGAGCCAGCTGTCACTCACGCAGCTGGGCGGATCCAGACATAATTGTCGGGATCCGCTTCAGCTGCGGTGTCTCAGTATACCGCGAGTTTTAGCTCGCGGTATACTGAGCTTAGGGTGACGGGAGGACGCTAGTTTGTGTCCTCCCGTTACCCTAAGGCGAACTATGGGAAGCCCTGACCCCATAGTTCTCCTTTAAATATCGGGACATTTAAGCCCCGCGGTATCTGTCTTTGGGTTAGATACACTTTAAGTGTACACATGTGCACGCTGTGCTCATTGGAAAGCATGTACTTTCCAGATGTTTTCCACTGCCAAACTCTGTTCTTATGTGTAACTTGGAAGTACGGCGCGTAGGGTAAGAACACAATTTGTCCGATGCCCCAGGTTATTCTAATGAAGCAGCAAAAATACGATACACCAAGTGCAGTAACCCGGGGCAACCAAACAGGTTTCAGATTAATTTGACAGAGCCTGTAAAGGTGAAATCTGATTGGCTGTTATGGTCTTCTGTAGTTTTAGTCCATTGACACTTCCTCCCGTCCATGTTACTGAATGTCGGTACAGACAGGGCCGGGAGGAAGAGTCTTCAGGATCCAGAGCATTCCACCCGCCATCCTCTGATTGCCGTTGCAATGCTTTACTGGCTCCAACACAAAACACAATGAAGGCGCATTTTTTTCTTTTATGAAGTGCGCATTTGTTTATTTATTAAAAAGGTGGAATTTACCTTTTGTCTGCACACAAATGAGCATATTTATAAAGCAGTGAATGTGACTTTCACCAAACATTCACAGCAGGTAAATCTTCCTGATTGTATGCGTTTTACATGACAGTGATGAATTCACCTGCAGTGAATGTTTGCTGAATGTCGCATTTCACTGCTTTATAAATATGCCCCCAATTTTACTCTGTAGAAGTCACTACATCACTTCTCACATACGGCTCCTGCTTGTCTGTCCTGCTGTTGTATAGTATCACTACCAGCGAGTCTGCACCGCGGTCACATAATGGGCTGTGGTATCCCAGTCACGCCGCGTGTCACGTGCTCCGTTTTGCTGTACATACTGTCTTTGCCGGTGTGTATGCACTATTGTTTTATAATAAAATGATTGTAATATTGGGAGTTTGCTTGGTTACTATAGAAGCTTGTGTCTTATGAGGTGGTGACAATCAGAAATTCTGTAACTACCGTAGGTGTTTCAAGTTTTTTCCAGTCATGGCACCCTTTAGAAGTATGAAAAATCTGGAAGCACCCTCGTCTGAAATGTAATGGATTTTAGGGGGTACACAAGCAAAAAGAGGGGTCCCCCCTTCACATCAGAGCCCTCTTTTACATCAGGAGCCCCCTCCTCATATCAGGAGCCTCCATAACATCAGTGTCCTCAGTCCCCCTTCATATGAGAGGCATACCCTCCAAAGAGTTCAACACTGGTTGAGAAATGCCGTTCTTACTGTTCTGTGTCATTGGCCTTCCTACATATTATATTGTCCAATAATGGTTGTATATAATGTGTATTCACATCCAGCTCATCACTGCAGTGCACTTTGGCAGTTCAGAAATTTACAAAGTGCATCTGTGTACAGAGATGAGCTGCACTATGATTGAAGGACAGATTGACTGAACAGACTGCAGATTGTCCCCAGTTTTCTGTTGTGTACACTGTGCCCGTTATTGGTTGTTGCCTCACCCCTCAGTTGTACCGTTTTAGGACATCCCAAAGGTTAAAGACCTCCCATGTTCTTCAATAGACATGAAGGACAATATGATTTTTGTGCTCCCCATTACATCCATTTCTTGGAGTCCATTGATGGACCTCGGTCCCATATCTCTGTGTTTATGATCTTGCTACTGATTTGCTACTAAATTGAGCCATGCTGGTAGTAGGAGGGGTTATACCCCGGTCCAATCCTCCATATCTGCTGAAGTTGATGCTATTTTAGCTTTTGTTTAGTCATGGTGCAGCACACATGACCAGCAATGACACCAACCATTTGTGAACTGGAAAGTATGGTTGAGGACCTGTTTACACCAGGGTGGTTCGGTCGCGCAGCTTTGTCTGCGCTGAACTGCCGACATGAACAACACCATACATTCTTATGGGGACAGCTCATGCGATCACACGGGTTTGCGCGATCCGAACCGCCTGCTGAGCTATTTTTTTTTTTTTTGCGTTAATCAGCGCATTTTCCATATAGATTTCAATGGAAACGTGCTGATCAGCGCCTTTGTAGGAGTTTTTAATTGCCTTTCAGCGCTGAAACGTGATTAAAAACGTCCCAAAATGCTCTTTTTAAAATTGCACGGAAACGCATCCGCCCTTGTGTGAATGGGGCCTTAGAGCCAACAGAAACAGCACACTGTCAACTGTGACAGTTCCCACCAGAGGCATGCCATGAATGTCGCATACACTGCACATGCACTAGTAGGCAGAATGGGCCAGAAAACAACATTGGTATGTTTCATTAGGGATTTAATATCATTTATTGATCATTTCTAACTTGAGTTTTAATTCCACTTTAAGTTGACATTCATGTTTCAGGTATGAACATTGCTGAGTCATTGCTGATGGAATAAACTTTTGCAGGACAACAAGTCAAGTGTCCTCACATACCACCTAGACCAGGGATGGCCAAACTCCGGCCCTCCAGCTGTGGTGAAACTACAAATCCCATGAAGCATCTCTCTCCGGGAGTCATGTCTGTGAGACTTTTGCAAAGCCTCATGGGATTTGTAGTTCCACCACAG